TAAATATCTGGCTTTTTTAAGAGTTTGAGAATGGTCGTGGTAGTAAAAGAGGATGTGCTCACATTTACGTCGAGTTACCTCTTTTTTCCACAAGCTAAGACTTCTTCCCCTTTACTGTTTTCTTCTTGGTCAAAACATGGTTGCTGATTTTAGCATCTGTGTATTTTGCTCTCTCGTACAAGGATAGATCGTACTGATCTTACTCCATCAAGGCAAAAGTACAGCCAAAGGTTGTTTAGCCCCAGGGACATGTCCTTGTACAGTTGGATGCCGTGCAAAAGCTGCTAAATGGCAGAGGACTCCAATATTATGTATGAATTGGCTCGCTCTCTCTTTTGGCAGAGATGGGGGAGAGCTGAGCAGATGCACATTTCCTTCTTCCACCAGCCAGTAAGAGCTCCTATTTTTATTGTCAGATGAACCTGCAAACGAGCACAGAAGAGATAAACACAACAGACTGTGCCTCATTGATCTCCCACCGAACCACAGACAGGAAAATAAGTCCTTTGCTGCTGGTAGCAGCTGAGTTTTCTCCAGCATCTTCATTCAGTTTAGCGCACGAAGGGTTGCGTTGAGTTCCGAGCCTGCCCGGGCTTGCTGGTGAGGCTGCTGTGTAAGCACCGTGCGCGGCACTCACAGCTCCTGATGCCATTCCTCATCTCTGGCAGGATATGGAAAATGTGTCAAGCCTGGCACACGATAGCAAATGTATTCCTTTGGGCTGGCTTTGGTGCTTTCACCAGCCCGTTTTAGTTCGGGCAGTTTGTAAACGATGCTTTTAAGACAGAAGATCAAAAAAAAAAACCACCGGTGCAGCTCCTCAGTAAATGCAAAGATGACTTCAGCGTGCTGTGTTGAATAACAAAACTCTTTTTTCTGTACAACACCAAAGTATCGGCACAGTGCACGGAGGTTACCTTTATGATTCACAGCATGAATGAGCACTTAGTGGGCGCATACAAGAGCACTGTACGAATCAGGAAATGGCTCTTTCAGGTCTCCTTACAAAAGGAAGTGAGTCTGAAGCTTGCTAAATTTACAGAGAGGACGTTCGCGAACTTAATCTAGGGCAGGGGATGGGGGGAAGGGAATAATCCCTCTTCTTTCACTGTGGGTTGATACACTAACTCCACATGTTTCCGTACCCAATTTTTAACAACAAAAAAAAGAAAGTAAAGAGGCTAAAACTGTGGCAGTGAGGGCTGCCTCCGCAGCCGCCTGCCTACGACCCTTAGCTGGTGCGTGCGTACAGCCACGAAGACTCTTCTGGCTTCATGCTTCAGCGTCCCCCCCCCATCACTGGGAAAATGAGAGTGCTTTTCGACGCCCCTCAGGTAAAGCTGTGAGTTGGCACAGAGGGAGCATCACTGCTCTGCTCGGGGCATCCTTCCTCCTCTGCCACTCGAGCCTGCTGCCTGCAGAGCCAGGGCACAGCAGGCTCGCGGGGTGCCTGAGCACTCCTGGCCAAGTGCTGGATGCAGCTCAATTTCAGTTCAAAGAAACAGATTACTTCTTCAAAAGCACGGGTGCTGCGCCCTGGAGTTGAGCGAAGGTACTTCAGGTTAAGACTCGGTGTTGGGAGATTTGGATGCAGCACGACACACACCACCAGATTCGGAAAGATTTCAGTACAGGGGGTGGTACGGTTCTGTAGCCTTCACACCATAACAGCCAAAGAAGGGTGAAATGAGGTTCTCCTCTTGAGGTTATTCTTATATTCAGGCATGCCATTGCTGATCTCACTACTACCTTAAAATGGAGGGCTCTCCAGCGCTCATCTGCACAGTGGTGTCAGGGCTGCAGGCCTGACACCAAGTCCTTCTTCCTTGGGTAGAAGGACTGATGAACCCAAGTGGTAAAGGACAGCAGCAACAGCCTTCCCAACACAGCGTCTGTCCTCTCTGCCAAAAAGTGCGTAGCAAGTGACCCACCTTGTTACTTCATGGGGCTGTCTTACGAACTTCAGGTTAGTATTGCTGAACAAGATCTGGACACTCAGACTACATGTAAAGCACATCCTTTAGCTTTAGTCTCTATGATAAACTAAATTCTTGAGTCTTGTGCAGGTTTATATCCACACTATAAACAAAAAGAGAAGTTCCCTGACCAAGCTGTCCCATTGCCCCCACTGCTGTTTTCATGGTGGGCACGATGAGTCTGGGATCATGAGTCCGAGCGCAGCTCAGGCTGCTGCGTGGCTGTTCCCAGGCACACAGTAGTAAGTCACCTGTGATCTACCTTCCTCTCTCCAGAAGATCCAGCAAAGCTTACCAATAAGAAGCTCATGCCTCAGTAACTGGGGCCTGGTGAGGGAGCATCACATCCAGCTTACCTGCCACAGCTGGACGTGGCCCACATGACTGACTGGCTTTGTGTGATAGTTTGATTTAGACTTTTAAATGCATCCAAAAAAAAAAGGCCAGGAGGCCTTTCTGTTTTGCTGGTCTGCTTTGTAGTTAAGATACTCTTATCAAAGGTTTTCCTTGTAAACAAGAAATTTTTGTACCTGTCAAAAACACTCCACAGTGTGGTTGACCTAGCCAGCTGCCAGGCCATCCAGGTGCAATAGCCGACCCTGCTTTGGGATGCTACATCCAGGAAGGTCCAGCAGGAAGTCATGCGGGCCTCCCCAGCACACCTGAAGAGCCAAAACGCTCCTTGTCAATAGCGGTTTATTGTGATAAAACTGGCTTTACAAGGAGCTTGGGATTTATGGGAAGGTACGGAAATAACCTTTACAAAACAAAAAAAGGGAAAAAGAAACGCATGCAGCAGGAGCTCATATTTGTTCTGAAGCAAATGTGCTCACACTGAGATTTTTCTGCCAGGGTTAATGGACAGAACGGTAGCCAGCCCCTTGAACTCCCAGGGCATTTTTCTCTCTAGGTCTAAAATATGATTCCCTCCATACAATCTTGCTCTTTATTGAACTGCAGTTATAGCTCTCTTCGAAGGTGACAGATGCAATGACAAATGCTCCAAAACATTTCAGTTACAACCTCTGCTAATAAGTCTGTGTCTGGGGCCTTCTACAGTTAGAGCACTGAGTCTAACCCAGATTTTTGCAATAAACACTTGTGGCAAAATACTGTGTTTTTATTCAAGGCTGCAAGATTGTGCATATTTACCTGGGCTAACAGGATTGTTCCGGGTTGGTGATGCTCCTTCTAGCAAAAGGAGAGGCTACACTGCCCACTTTTACTCAGACTTAACTAACACTACCTAGAGGAATTGTCATCCCAGCAGTGAGGGCTGCATAGGCCAGCCTGATGATCTCCACTTCTATGATTTTCACATGCTGCAGAGATTAAAGATTGTGTTTTTAACAGAGAGTACTGCAACCTGGCCCCAACATATCTGCTAACGGCCACTATGGCTGGGGATGCTGAGATGAGAACACTATTTCCTCAGTTGCACAGACTCCAGTTACCAAGCTGAAAGGCTTCGAACGGAATGATGACCAAACTGTTGATGTGAAATTTGGGTGGGGAATATACCATTTTTAGCTTATGTTGTAATACCCACAGGCAAAGCCTGGCAAAAGATAACACATGCATGCACAAATTAGTTCCATGCATCTGTGTATGTGTACATATGTACATATATATATATGAACTGTGGTCAACTGCTCTCCTATTCCTCATTAGGAAAGTCTGTGCCAAGTGAGTCGAATGTTTACGATCTCCTGCACTCTTACCAGCATGAAACTTTTTTTTTTTTTATTTCCTGTACTTGTAAAAACCAGAAGACATAAGGAAAGGATTTCAGTTAGGGCTCTCTTGCTCACATTTTGGAACCATCTCCTCATCATGTGTGTATGCAGGTGCTCCAAGGCAGTCACTTCCTGCTAGATAAAAGCCTTCTGTTTTGATGTCTATCATTTGGGATGTTTTTAAGCAGCAGCGTAAATATGCAGTATGAAGATGTGATCTAGTAAAAAGCATTTAAGTCAAGTGATACTTATTTAACCCAGGATCTTCTAAACACGCACACACATGTATATGTAAACAAATAAAGATTAAAAGCTGTTGCATTTGAATGAGGATTAGCTAATGAAACAGCCTGGACATGAAAAGTTTCACATTGCCCTCAGAGGCAGTAAAAAGAAACAGAACGGCTAACAACTGCATCAAAAAGGAGAATGAGGAAAGCACATCTTGGTGGAGTCTAGGAGTGAAAATACCCGAATTATCAAGTAATTATGTTCTTAAATGCCACTGTAGGATACGCCAAATACTACTGAAAAAAATACAGGCATCTAAATCTGTATTCCTAACTCAATGGTAATCATTTTCTCTAGTGAAGGACTATCTTTAAGGGAAGAAACAAATCTATGCTTGTATTGCAAGAGTGGTGTAACAGAGCAGTTACAGCTATGACAGATATTTCCCAGTTTTCCTTTCCACTACTGACAAAAACACTACTTTGATCCTCCCAAGCCTGTTTGAACTATGCTGGCGAAGCTGAAGTAAAAAAACCAAAACACACACACACCCCAAACCCCACGCAAGAACTCTGCTCCCTTTCCTAAATCAACATCCATCTTCACCAGCCTAAAACAACCAAAAACATGCACTGAACACGTTGGGAGATACTGTTCTTCTGCCTGAGGCAATCACATGCCTTATGCCTATATTAAAAAAGAGTTGGCCTGTTTTATAATGCCCACACAGACTGGTATTCGCATTGCCAAGGTCTGTTTGTTTTTCTCTAAAAGTTTGTGGAATACGCTCAGCCAGAATACCTAACCAAGTAACAACAAAGATGTTTAAAAGCACTTTGAATAGGATTTGTCTTTTCTTCCCTGTTCTTTGTAGAAAGCTAACATATCATACAAGCACACATTTAATTCCATCCTTCCCCCAGTCCTCATATTTACTGATTAATTTAGGAACATTTAAGAGTCACCAATAGAGCTTTAAATGCTCTGAGCTACTTGGATTACAGTAACTTGTGAAGCATCATGCCCCAAAAAGAGAGACTCATGGAAATGTCAACAAATGATGAAAGGGTTTTATTGTGCAGAGATTTCAAAATGCTGGAAATCCTTTTGTACTTCCCTTCGCTTCACTTTTTCTTCCCCTCCCCTAGCTGGGAATAAGGAAACAGCCAAGTTATTCTATAGCTGGTTCCCACCACCGAAACGTTCTGGTTCCCACTGAGCTGTGCATTCAAGCAAAAACAAGAACGTTAACAGCTCCATTCCCATCCATCTACTAGACAGGAACTCACAGATGCTTCATTATATACCTCCCGCTGGCACTGATGAGGCAGAAGATTTGTATAGAAAGGAGGGGGCGACTCAGACAAAACACAAGAGTCATTGTAATTTTTCTCATTCGTAATTCTATTAACTAATGTTAGCCAAAACATCATGCTACTTTAAGCTTTTCCTCACTGTTAAAAAATACAGGCATTGTCAACAGCATCTCGAGAACCTTTCACGTATTGTGCAAGTGTCACATACATGAGTTTAAAGAAGATAAGAGGAGGGGAAAAAAAAGGACCATTTTGCATAACTGGAATTTTATTTTATATATAAATAATGACAAGAGACTGAGGAGTTTTGAGACTTGTTACTTGCAATGCTGATCCTCCAATGGGACAAGCATGGGCAGACTTGAGTCCCACTGCAGAATTGAGGACAAGGTCTCAGGACTGACCCAAAATACTTAGTGTCCTTTCACGGATTCCACACCAGAAGCCCAAGCAGCACACTGTCAGTCTTTCCTGAGGCAGAAGGCAGACTAGTCACATTCAAAATCAAAACAGATTCAGACGGTTTTCCTCTTTTTCTTGGGAAATTGTTGCTCATATCTATATTTTTTGTTTACCTATAAGCAAGGAAAGGGGACAGAGGATAAGGGGGAGAGGGAGGAAGGAAGAAAGCAGAATTAAATACCACAGGCCTTTTCTCCCCGTTGTCGAAGTGCAATGAAAACTTTGTTCCTCAAATAGATTTTGATCAACTTGCCACGTCAAAGAAAATTCTCAATACCAATTTACTTCCAGTAAAGAGATTTAACTCTTCACATTACTGACATTAGAGCACTAATGATTATGTCTGCTCTAGAGAACTTAATTCCTACAGTTGAACTGTATGAAAATATAAAAGAGAAAGAACACTTCATAGCAACAAAACACCAACTGGAATCTTGTGTAATAAACCAACTTTCTCAAACAGAATTCTTTTAAATTCCCATCAACTGCATTTTTTCCTAATCTCACTGACTCTAGTGTAAAGCTAGAGTAATTTAACTCGAAGAAATGGAATTACATAAATACAGAACCTGAACACAGTGAAAGTGAGATATGCTATCTTCATGGAAAAACAAAGCCACGTCGCTTCCGTGCAACTCTTCAGCACAACAGCTGGATAAAATTAAAGCTTGCTTCTCCCATGATGTGATGTGCTTTGAGCTGTAGTTTGCATATAATTATTGATGACAAACGTAATACAATAAAGGAGGTGCAATGCTGCTGTTTTTTGGAATGGAGAAATATGTTACTGTCTCCAACCCAAAGTGATTTTGTCCTTGGCTGACCATTCACAATTCAAAGACCCATGCTGTGGCAAAACTTTATGAGGAAAATGAGATTGTATTTATTTTAGTAAGCAGATTCAACTAGGAATATTGCCAACAGTTGAAAATACAGTGAGACTTTCAGGACTGATCTCATTCAGAATAAGCAAATCTGTCTTTTCAAAGATCACAGCAGCATTCTCCAACGTTTGGGATCACCCAAATCCAACAAAACATCTGGACTTGGGTATGGAGTTAAACAACTGGATTTGATTTCAAGCAGAAGTAACAAATCACCACCCCCGCAGAACAGCTGAAAATTGATACTGAATTGAACTTTCACCATCTGGTTTCTCTAGGTCAAAGATCTAGCAGTTGCATTTATGTATCTCCTCTAGAAACATGTGGCAAAACAAGTAGATTTCAAAACCAGCAGCACCTAGGTACTTTCAGCACCTGAGCAATTATCTTCACTCTTTAAAAAGAAAGACAGTAGAACATCTGAGACAGCAGCTGTTAGTGAGGTTCTCCTCAAAACTTACTTATATAGCATGAGTATATTTGTGATTAAAATCCTGACAACAAAGGGTCTGGATACCAACTTTAGCATAAGTCTTCCTGACAGCTTTGCTCCTTTCCTTCCACCCCCCCCCCCTTAAAAAGAAAATGTGCCTTAAGCAAAAAGCACTAGCATTTCAAAAAGTGAATAATGACCTACCAGAAATTATATTCACGTAGTAAGAAATGCTAAAAGAAAATAAAAGCTATTTACAGGTTTCTGTTTTTAATGCACCTTGATATTTGTACAGTGTCCCACATACATAAATGAAAGTTCAATTTTCCTGGCTTTTTATCATTTGGTAGCTCTGTCCTAGTTCACAATAAGCACAATATTTTAGTGAATTTTAGAGAAGCTTTCCTTCCTCTTGGTTCTCCTGGGTATCTTTACTCAAAACAAAACTGTTCTTCCTATTTTTTTAAATTTTTATTTTACATGGCTATTTTATAAAATACTTTGAAAACACATATTCTTGAAGACTTTATATTCATATGTCTGAAGGAAAAACTAATATAGTCAGTAAATCAGCCAGCCAACATACCTTTCTGCCCTTGTGAGAATCAGCTATAAGCAATTAAAAATACATTAAGGGAAATACAACATTAGAAACTAGTTTTGCTTTTAAAGCTGACTGTGTAACAGTGGAATGCTGTTGCTCAGCAGATGTGTGCGTTCCATCACATCTGCAACCAGATGTGACCGGTGATGATGCATGGAAAAAAAAAAAAAAAAAAAAAATCAGTGCACTTTGCTAAATCCAGACTCTATTTACACAGTTGGCAGTTAGGAAAAGAAAGAATTTTACTGGTAAATGGAACACTGCATACAAAATTAATGAGGAGTCCCTACAACGCTAGGATTACTTTCCGATGAAAAGTAAGTCTTTAACATAATGTGAAAATAACGTAGGGCAAAGACAAGCAACTAGAAAACACGTTCAGAAAAGACATCCTTTATCAACCGATAGCAGAGTAGACATTTGATTTTGTATCAAATTATGTCCAATTACATTATCATTAGCAATAACAAGCCTCAAATAAAGAACATTTTTTGTCCTATGAAATTGAGCCATCTTAAAAAAGTTGAGAAGGTGTTTTTGTTTTGCTTTTCTAGAAACTGTAAGAATCACGGGACTTGCTTGAGTTTAGAAAGCAGCCCAGCAGCCAAGTCAGAAACAAAACTGGCTTCTCAACTCGAGTTTCTGGCTCGGAGAACTGGGAAACGCTGCCTCCACTTCCTCCATCATTCGTTCCCAACTGATGAAGAATGCTCATTAGGGAGGTGCAGCAACATGAAAGGTCAACACATCGTGGACTGTTACAGGCTGTAAGATAATGCTGTACCCTGGCATTGACAAATCTTTAGAGAAAACCCATCAGTAGGAAAGAGGTTTCTTTCCCGCCCTTCATACCTGCACAGGTGTGACAAAGAAGGCAAAGAGGTTTTTGGTACGGGGGCAGAAACGGGACAGGAAGGAGGAAAAAAAAAAACCCAATACATTAACAAGGCCTTGCTAAATTAACTCAGAACCCTTGGAAGAGACATAAATTTACTTGCTATGCTCTAAAGATGAAGAATTTAGATAAGTTAAATAGCGTTAAGGAGCACTCATATTCTTGAGAAATGTTAAGATGAGTAAAATTATTACTTCTCTTCCCCTCTTTCTTCATCAATGTGAAGATAACTACAAGTCAAACTTGCAAACGTTCAGCTTTTCCAGGCTATTTTGCTGCTGTAGCCACATACTGTTATCAGTCTTTTATCTTTTACCTGTTTGATGCCAAGTGATCTGGTGTTCTACTTCGGGGCTTGCTCTTCATTTGAAGCAGCATGGATTTCCAAGGGCTTGTCACTATCTGCATCACCCTTGAGGAGGGAAAAATATGCACAAAATTTCAATTGAGGCAATCCATGATTAGTGTTTTTGCTAGAACAGAAACCCTCTTCAAAAGCTGAAACAAAGACTTCTTGCAAAATCAAGTGGTTGATGAGACTAATTCAGTATAATATACTCAAATATGATCTTCTCCCAAAAGGTTTCTAGATTTTTGTCTTCCTGTAGTTAGCTGAGCAATTAAAGGATTTGAAAGAACAAGTAGTTCAACAAAAATGCTTTAATTGACTCATCTTGCCTGCACTAGTAACAGAGGATAAATTCCCACAGAGTAGTTGCTATTTTGCATACTCTGAATTCTGTGTGGATTTATACAATAGGTCTCTTTTAGTACATATCCTTTGAGAGAGTGTTCTCACACTTTCCCCAAAATAAATGATAGAAATCAAAGAATGAAGAGGGGCTTGTTAGAGCGTTTGGTCTATCTCTTTGCCAAGTATGCTGTAATGAACAGGCATTTGGTTATAGTTTTAAATGCTTATCAATAAAAGAAAATACTTAAAGGGCCACACACATGGCTAGGGGACTGAAGCAGATGACATACAAGGACAGGCTGAGAGACGCGAGTCTGTTCAGCCTGGAGAAGACCAGACAAAGGGGGAACCTAATTGCTATCCACAGTTCCTTAATAGGCATTTACATATTTGGAAGAGCTAGGCTCTTCTCAGAGGCTCACACCAAAAGGACATGGAGCAAAGGACACAGGAGCATGGCAAATTTCTATTAGATCTAAGCGGGGGGGGAGGGAGGGGAATGTATCACACCACTGATCAAGCACTGGAGCAGGTTTTCCAGAGAACTTTTTCAATCTCCATCCTTGGAAATACTCAGCACTTGACTGCACAAGGCCTGAGCCACCAAATCTAACTCCGAAGCTGTCTCTGCTTTGAACAGGGGGCTGGATGAAATGATCAGAGGTCACGCCCAGGTTCAATTATTCTTAAATTCTACATGTGAAAATTAAATGGCATTTTCTTTTTATTGTAAAAAGATATTTTTACCAATATGACTTAAATGTGATGGAAAATGTAACAAAAGAAGCCAGAAGAGACTGGAAAACATAAACATTTCACAGGATGGGTCAAATTTTTGTCCCAGCACAAATTAAACACCATGAATAAGGCACCGAGTCTATGAGACCCTGCATATGCTGCGCTGGAGATAGGGACTCAATACATCAAGATTCAATTATGAAGATAATTCTTAAATTTCTTTTTCAAAATATGCCCAGCAAGACCTTTAAAAGGTAATTCTTTCTTTCAAAAACTCATTTTGTTTTCATCACTATCCCGGATATTTCAAAGTATAGGAAATCACATCCACAAACCACACCCGTTTCAAAATAATGATCTACTCCGTAATTTTCTTGTACAGGAACTTGCAAGTTATGACATTTTACTACAATTTATAATGAATAATCTGACTCACAATGCCTCATCTCAGGGATTACTCAACCGTGAACAAATGAACTAAAAATAAGTTTTTCACAGAGTTTTCTATGTTTTTCCACTTGCTTGTTTTAACTTGTAAAAAGCAAATACCATCTAGGTAAGCTTTTTTATTTGTCCTGAAAGGGGGAAAAAAACCCAAAGCAACACACACAGACACACAAACGTACAGGAAAACAGAGGTCTTGCTCAGTTCCTTTGCTTCTGTGAGCTCAGTAGGTCTCATCACAGGGCTTGTCTTCACTAGCTCTATTAAGCCCGAGTTATTTAATTCAAGCCAATCCACTGCTGAACGGTCATCCCTCACACAAACTCATTTGCTGAATTAGCAATTAAGAAGTTCTTTTACCTCCATCCACTGCATGTGCCCACTACGTAAACAGTGAGCCTGAGTGAGACTGATCAAGCAGTAATATGGGTAGCCAGAAGGGACATCCTTTGAGCTAGCCCAGGGCATAAACACACCTAATTTTACAACAAAGTGTCAAGGTCCTCTAGTCACACTCAAGACCAGATCAGAAGTAAAAAACGTGTTTAGATCAATGACCCAGAAGACAGGCCGCCTCTGTGCCATGATGCCCTCTCATAATTAGAAGCAGGCACCTATTCAAGATGGTCTTTCTACTTTCTGGCTCAACACAACCACCCCATAATGTATCTGGGTGGCCAGAGGAGTTCACGCATCAGAGCTCTATCCCACAGCAGAAGGGGAAATATTTTGCAGCATTCTTACACATCTGACAGTTTCAACCAAAAGGTGACTGATAAGAAATCTCCATAACTTATTCATTAGTAAAGTGTTCAATACATTGGGATTCCATGGGATTAAAAAAAATTTCAAAGAAATCATTATTTGAAATTGCAAATAATATTGGAACTAAGGCGACTGTACACAATGCTTTTTGTAAGGTTTCAGTACACGAGTGATTAAAAGACACCCCAACTTAGCTCACAGTATCTAACAGAGATACATTGAGACCTCAATTTGAAATTACAAACTGAAAAAAAAAATGCAATTATTTCTATGAAAATTTTCCTTCAATATGGAGAAAAATGCCCAAAAGCAACTTAGCCTAATGTCAAAAACCCAAATGTGGGGTGGCTTTTTTCTCACATTACAGCCTAGTCTAATGCAGAAGTTAGTTTCTGTCGCTCCCTCTGAGAAAGTCTTGCAGATGGCCAGGCCCGTTTTCACTGGCACCTAACCTTAGAAATTATAACTCCAAAGGTAGGTATACATCTCTCTTATGCTTATGGAAAACTCTTGAAAGGTAGAGTCTGGCCACCACAAAAAAACAACAGCTGCAAAAGAAAAACAAAGGCTCATCTGGGCTCACAGATTAATAATTTACCTTTTTTCCTGTCCTCTTCTGTTTGCAATGTATTGCTTAGAATAAAGAGAACGTCACTGGTTTACCTTATTCATCCTCCCTCAGTCAATCAATAACTTACTCTCCATCTTTTATTTTTAGCTGAGCTTGAACTTAACTCTCTTAGAAATATGAAGCACTTCTAAAAATATTACTCTTAAGTTGCCCTAAAAAACTCAACTTTGTGGAGTAGATTCTGTCTTTCCTACCTCTAACACATTTAAATTCACCACAGCCCAAACTAAGGATCCAATTTTACAAGTTTTACTCTGTTGTTGTTCTTACTACCAAACAATAAAAGCAGAGCGTGTAACAGGGAACAGTATTTTCTGTCAGAAGTAGACATTTATCTTTTAGTTCAGATGACCAAACTTTTGCTTGTCTGTTCAGAAGCTACCGAAGACAAGTCTTACAAGCATTTACTGTAGAAAGAAGCTCTCTCAGCTGCTTATGTTGGGTTTTAAAAGATGCTCAAAACACAAGTGACTTAAAAACTCTCCTCTTAAAACACAATTTAAGGTTTGCTATCGTCACAATCCATGATGCTTACGGTAAAGCTCCCCAGACAGCCACTGAGAGCACAACTTCCACCAGAGCTTTCAGGTGAGGAAAAGCCAGGTCCACAATTTCCTTGATGCTTGTTCTCAGCAAGCGCAGGAAATAAGAGCCCAAAGCTGAGCAGTCTTTGCACTTGGAAGCACTCTGTCACCAGCTAACAATTAATAAAATACTCAGAGATAGCTATATAGATATAGCTATATTTTTAATATTTATAGATTTTTATATGTGTAATAAATATATATATAGGTTAAAAATATATAATATATGTTAGTATTGGTAAGTCACAGATGATTTCTATCAACAGACTGGGCAGGAATGAAAACCTAACAATAAGCTGCTAGAGTTTCTCTCAATCTCTGAAGCTGTTTAAACAACCAAATGACAGACAGCAAGAAAAAAAGAAAAAAAACCCCATCAGTTTTCTGTAAGATCTTATTACTGATTGGACCAAAGTGCAAAAGAGCACACCTATGAAGAAAGGAACAAGACCTGAAAAGGCGGGTGTTTTTAGAGTTCTAGTGCTGCTCTGGTTTTTCACATTTCAGTAAAAACAATGGGTGCCTGATTCCGTGTTGGGGGAAGAGAAAGAATCCAGAATAGCTGAAAATACAGCAAAAGTCTTTGAGCAGTATAAAGAAAAGACAAAGTGAGAACTAACTGAAAAAAACCCAAACCTGTTTTTCTATGTGTTTCAGTACATATTAGTGTACTGGCTGAAACAAAATCTGGGTTTAAGTGACTCGGTGCCATAACACATGCCCTTGTCACTTGAAGACGAAGTCGTCATAGTATGAGAGCTAACAACCCTACAGCACAATACAACAGTACAAATTATGGAAGTATCCAAACCAGAGGCAGAAGAGGAAGGGCAAAAAGGCTGCATTTCATAAAAATAAATATCAAATGAGCTGACTGACAAACAGGACCTGATTGTTAGAAACTTACAGGTGGTATGTATTGAACTGTGGCTCTGAAATACTGATCTTTAAGCAGTTTTCTTGTAAAGAAGTTATAATCCTTTGTATGTAAAACCACAGTCCTTAACTTTATGCTGTTGCACAAAATCTTCAAGCTGATGTGGTTCGTCCATCCCTCTGACCTAAGAACAGGTATTAAAGCTGATAAACTCAGCCAGTATTAAACAGAGATCGCTGCGAACAAGAAAAAAAAATAAAAGCTGCTGCAATTCACTGGCTTAACAGTTCAGCTAGTTCAACACTTTTGTAGGCACTGGAAGGCAAAAAAGTGTAGCAGAAAAGAAATGTAGAAAAATATGATCTTGCACGAACTATGATATTATTAGGCAGAGCAGAGGGACCAGTTACTCACAAAGACTAGCTGAAGACAATGCAGGGTATTAGCTTTCATAATTGTAAAACCCCATTAATGAAAGTTTGATGCCGCCTGAGGCTACTCAAAAGGGTTTCAGACGCATCATTCCAAAAAAATTCGTCAAGGTATAAGTTGGTATGATTCGCTACAAATTTTGCAAACTAAGTTTAAGATAAACAAGGTTTGAGGAACACATCTTCCATTTCACTATCGCTTCCCCTAAGGATTTACAACCTGATAATAGAAATGTTAACACCAGTT